GATAGTCCTCCCCCTAGAGGTGGACTCCCACCTGGCCCCCATTTTCCCAAATTAACTCTTTTCCAGTCTCTTTTCATTTGTGTGCGGCCCTTCTTCAGAACAGAGAACCCTGAACCACACGGGACTTGATAAGGGATCCCACAGATTTGTGCACATTCAAAGGAAATTAATTAGAAGGTGGCCTTCGGGGCAGAACTATGTGAGATGGATCAGATGCACCCTGGAGCTAACTTCCCTCAGTCCCTCCCTGGCATCTGTGGAATGAGCGAGGTCCCTCTGGTAGGTGAGGTCCCTCGGCCTGGCCTGCAGGGTCAGGCCGAAGCTGGCTCTCCAACATCCTCTGAGGGGTCCTGGAGTGCAAGAGGGCACTCTGCAAAGATGCTGTCATACAGGGTGTGGAACGCAGATGCAAGTGCGCAGTAAACCAGATTCGGGGACCACAGTGCCCCAGCAACAACATAACCCACAGTCAAAGGTGGAATCACACAGCCCCATGAGGAATCAGGCTCCCTTCTCTCTGGTTTTGGGATGCATCACCCAAGAACCACCACTGCCAAGTCACTGCAGCTCAGCAGCTTCTGCAAGCATTTGATCTCTGATGGTCAGTGTGTATCATAGCAACTGGTCAGGTGATCAGACACTTAGCATATTAGCCTTTTATATAGAGAGAATTACTCATATCTATGGGCATATGTATGTGCCAGGCACTATAATGAGGTTAATAGGGATTAACTCATTACTAATAAATCACACATATATATACACACACATATAACATTAGTCCCACTTTACAAATGAGGACAGACACTGCCATTAGGTATGTTAACCAAGTCCCACTGTTATGAAGTGATAGAGCCATGATGAAGCTCTGCTCCTGGGAGTGTGCTCCACCCTGTAAGCATGTGCTGGTACATGTTTCAGGGCCAACTCTCCAGAAGGATAAAGGGCCGGGTTGTAGCTTCTGCTAATTTCTGTGGTATAAATATCACAGCCATCTTCAAGCTACCAAGAAGACATCCAAATGTGCAGTTGAAAGAAAAAGTAGCACAGTAACATGCTACTTCTGATACAGTATTTCAACCAGGCAGACCCGACAGATATAAATAACCTCATGAGCACAGGTCAGAGTCAAGTGCAGCAAAATAATTAGGAAGTGATGAGTTTGAGTATTTATTATATTTTACTTTTTTGTTGTTGTTAATCCCCACCTGAGGATATTTTCCCATTGATTTTCAGAGAGAGTGGAAGGGAGGTAGAGAGGGAGAGGGGAGAACATCAATGTGAGAGAGACACATTGATTGGTTGCCTTCTGCATGCGTCTCATCTGGAGCCAGGGATGAGCCTGCAACCCAGGTATGTGCCCTTCACCAGGAATCAAACCCAGGACCCTTGGAGTGCAGAACAACACACTAACCTACTGAGCCACAGGAGCCAGGGCTATTATCTTTGACTTTAACAAAATGTATTTAAGTTTACATAACTCAATTGTTAATAGCTGGTTTTCAGTAACCAGCTGTCACAATTCCTGAAAATGTGACGAGCTCTCCGTAAGCCAGTACAAAGCAACTTTAGCACCCCACTGTCCACCACACTGCCTTAATGAACAGGAAGGGTTTTATCTGACTTATTCACTTATACATCTTTAGTACCTAGCACAATGCCTGAAACACTGGATGTGTTCAATGAGTGTTGAACCTTGTTATTCCTACTTCCTAATTAGACCTAAAATCTGTCCACCTCTCCCTGCCTCCCTCATAGTGCAAACACCGTCACTTATTTCTAACCGCTGAGATAGTCCCGTCTCTGCTTCGCCTTCCCCTCTACAATTCTTTCTTTGTGGCAACCACATTCATCTTCAAAAGCATATCTGAAACCACCTTCTACTCCTACTTAAAAGACTTCTTTCTTCAAGATAACAGTCAGTTTTAATTCTACAAACCAGAGGATACCACTATTCACATTTTATCTATTCCAGCCTTCTTCTATTCTTACAACATCCTTTATTAAATGAAGATATGAGCCCTAACCAGTTTGGCTCAGTGGATAGAGTGTTGGCCTGTGGACTGAGGGTCCCAAGTTCTATTCTGATCAAGGGCATGTACCTTGGTTGCAGGCATACCCCCAGTAGGGGGTGTGCAGGAGGCAGCTGATCGATGTTTCTTAACTCTTTTATTCCTCTCCATTCCTCTCTTTTAAAATTCAATAAGGTATATTTTTAAATAAATAAAATGAAGATATAATTTTATAAAACTTCATTAACAGTGTATCTCAGATAGCAGCATTTTTAAAGGGTACATACAATTCCATTATATGTTTAAGCAAAACTTTATACTAGTATACCATTTCTTGCAGATGGACATTTAGCCTTTGGGGGGTGGGGTGGTATTTTTCTATTTTAAGTAAAGCTGCAATAAACATGGGTGCACGTATTTTTTTGTGCCTTTGCCCAACTCTTTTTTTTTTTTTTTTTGAAAATATTCCTAGAACTGGAATTCCATAGATGGTTTTAAGGTATCCACGGTCTTCAAAAGGAATTTAGAGATGTTCAATTTTCTTATGCTTTTCATTCTCACTTTTTTCCACACCCCACAGAGCCACTGTCTAGCTGCCAGTTCATCCCATTAGGTGTCCTTTCATCCTTATCACTCAAACTTTTCCACGGTTTCCTGTTATATTCCAAATCAATCCAAACTCTACCTGAGTTAAATGATCCAACTCCGGCCTGACTCCAAACGGTTGCCTTTCTTCTTTTCCTCTTCAGTCACCCTGGCCTCCTTTCGGGTCTTTCAACACCCAGATCTTGATCCCTCGGGACCTTTGTACCAGTTCTTCCTTTGGAAATCTCTACCTCCTTTTTTTTTTCTTTTTTTTTTTTAAGCTCATACAAAGGCAATTTATTAACAGAAACCAATAATTTGAAGAGTCCTGTTCATGCTGACGTAGGTGACCTGCCTTCCTGTGGGTGCTGAAGGGGATGAGTGACACCTTCAATCTGTCATCCTTGTCCCTCATGGGCAAGGGCTCTGAGAGCGGACTGGGCCCCTGGTCCAGGGGATCCTGGTCCTATTTCCTCCTGTGGCCTGGAGCTAGATGTGGACGGCAGTGATGCCCAGCTCCTTGCACCTCTGGGCACACCTGGGTAGCCAACAGGGTGGCATATGGAGAGGACTCATCTCAGTCAGCCTTTACCTTCGTCCCACCAGTCACGTGGCAGATGGTTCCTTGCCATAAAGATCGGTGTCATGGAAGTACGTAAAGATGTGGCAGACACCAAATGCATTTTCTCCTTCAGACACCCAAGACCTGTTCTTCCTCCTTTTCCTTCCCCATGCGAGGTGCTGTTTCTGCACATCTTCTCCAGACTCCGCCATTGAAGAGAGCGCTCTAGTTCTTATCACAGCTGGTTCCCTCCCGCCCTGTCTCCCCCAGCCTGCAGGTCACTGCTCCAGGAGGCTCTCCTTGCCCACCCCCCTTACCACCACATCTTTTACATTACTTACTGCATCCTATCCCTTCCGGCTTTAACACAACCATCATTGCACAGTTAGTGCCATGTGTTTTCTTGGTTGCCTGCCTTCCCCAGTAAAGTATAAGCACCAGGCTGGATGCAGGGGGCAGAAGAATGAGTAAGTGCTGCAACTTACCAGTTATGCATACAACAGCTACAGATTAGGTCTGTGCTCTGCTCTTCATCAGCAATATGCCCTATTTCTCCGAGCCTCAGCCTTTTGTAGAGAGAATCATAGTCCCCACTTCCCAAATCAGAGTGCTGTGTAATTAGCTCTGGAACTGGCAGCCAAACCCTGGAAGACTAGAGCTCAGGAGTCAGTGCTAGAACCCTCATTCCAATGTGGGAAAAGGGCAACAATCTTGCCGTAACCGGTTTGGCTCAGTGGATAGAGCGTCAGCCTGCGGACTGAAGGGTCCCGGGCTCGATTCCAGTCAAGGGCATGTAACTTGGTTGCGGGCACATCCCCAGTGTGTGTGTGTGTGTGTGTGTGTGTGCAGGAGGCAGCTAGTCGATGTTTCTCTCTCATCGACGTTTCTAACTCTCTATCCCTCTCAATTCCTCCCTGTGTAAAATCAATAAAATATATATATTTTTAAAAAGAGCAGGAATCTTGGAATGGAGAGCAGGAGGATGGAACAGAGCTTCAGGGCTTCCAAATAAGCTCGAAAATTGGCCGCGGAGTCTTCCACAGCCAGCTTCCACCTGGGCCAGCCCCAGGTCTCCACACCAGGCTTGGGCATGAAGGATTGCTGCTGTGCCCGACTGTTCTTTCTGTAGGCGCTGGCTGTGTTCAGGGCAGGGGCCATTTTCCCAGGCTCCTCTCAGCACCAGGGCAGGGAGACACGGGACACTATTTCTGCAGAAGCTGCAGGGCCTGGGATGGGGATTTGGCAGGTGGCTCAGGCTCCAGGGGTTCACCCTCCCTTGCTCTTCCCTCCTGAAGCTTCAAAACACCAGGACCCATTTAGGAATCTGGGTGCCCTGCCTGCCTGCTTGCCTGCTTTTTAGTCCAGAGCTAGTCCCTGCCATCCCATCCCCTCACAGCCTCACTCCACAAGAAAGCAACAAAACCACGTGGCGAACACATTTATTTAATATGGGGGGTGGGGTATTGCTGTCTCTGTCAGTGTGTATGGGTGGTAGGGAGACAACCAGAGGGACTTCCGCCCTGCAGGAAGAGGCTGTTCTGGCCCCAGGCTGGGGTTGGGAGCAGACTGAGGGGGCGGGGGAGGTGTGTAAAGGGGGGAGGGTGAAGCTCTGCACACGTCCTGGGAACCACAGTCCAGGCCCACCCAGTCACCAAAGCAAGAACCGAATAAATAAAGTGCAACCGTGGGGGTGGGAGACGGGGAGAGGGAGGGCACCGGGCGCACCCACGCCCACAGCCCACATTCAGTGCTGCCAGGTCTGGCCCAGCTGCGGGCCAGACACGCCTGTCCAATCACCCCTATGTCCGTCCCTCCATGAGCCGGGCAGGGCCCCTGCGCAGCTACTGGAGGTAGCGATAGGCCTTGAAGCAGTGGTTGCCGGCATCGGCCACCACTACGTGGCCGTCCGAGGTCAGTGCCAGGCCCTGCGGGCCGTACAGTGGCTCTGCAGACGTGTTGATGTAGGACAGGAAGGAGCCAGAGCTGTCGAATACCTGGGGAACGGGTGGAGAACGAGGGAGAGCTGAGATCAGGCTGGAGAGGTGCATGTTGGGGGGAGGGAGTGTGTGCGTGGGGAGCAGCGGGAAACCTCACCTTCCTGCTGTCCCTGGGCCTCACTCACCTGGATGCGGCTGTTGCCCCAGTCAGCCACGATGATGTTCCCGTTGGAGTCCACAGCCACTCCCGTGGGAGCATTGAACTGCCCGTTGCCCTCACCGTGGGAGCCGAACTTGAAGAGGAACTCTCCGTCGGCACTGTACACCTGGCAGGAGGAAGGCTGGGGACTGGGGACCTGGCCTCAGACGGAGGGCAGGGCCTTGGAGGAGGGTGGGGGAAGCTCCAGGCCTGAGGACCCCCAGGTGGTCTGCAGCTACAGCTAAGTTCTTCTCAGCCTTCCCATCCATGCACCCCACTGCACTGGACATCTCCAGCTGATGCCCCTCAAACATATCACATCTAACAGTCCATTTCCCAGGAGAGCAGTTCTGACTTCTCTTTCAGGGACTGGCAACACCCATTTGGCCATGAGTCACTGTTGACTGCATCGTTTCCTCTGCTCGACAGCCAGTGAATTGACACAATCATTGATTCTACCCCAAGTCTGTAATATATATATATACACACACACATATATATATATACACATATATGTATACATAGATATATATATCCACAGCAATGGTCCTTATCTAGATTGTTGCAAAGACAGATCTTCCTGCCTCTAGTCTTGCCCCAACCAGAGCGATCTTTCTCAGACACATAGGATTGTACCACCCCACCTGCCTGCAATCCTCAGTGACTCCCAGAACTCTTAGGAAGAGATCATGCTCCTCAAAGGCCACACAAGACTCATCCCTGCAAACCCAGTCTGAACTACTTGTAGTTTCTTGAACACGCCACTGGGTTCCCACGTCCAGTTCTCAGCTCCTCTGGTCCCCTTTGCCTCAAATCCTCCTCTCCTTCTCTACCTTCTCATTAACTCCCCCTCTTGCTTTAGGCAATTCTCTCTCATCTGAGCCAATGCTCCTGCTATGCCCTCACATTTCCCTACACTTCCTTATCACAGGACGTATCACATCAAATTGTCACATGCCAGTTAACTCTCCTCTCCTCTACTAGACTATAACTAAGAAGACAGGAAAGTATTTGCTTGATTCATGACTGCATCCCCATCGCTTCTAACATAGTGCCTGGGTCCAAGTAGCCCTGCCATGAATGTTTACAGTGCAAATGAAAGATCTGGGGGCGGGGGGAGGGAAGGGAAGACACTGACCTTCACTGAATGGTTATGGAAATCCGTCACTACAATCTCATTCTTGTTGTTCACAGCCACAAAATGGGGCCCTGAAAATGTAAAGTGGTCTCTAGGGCATTTAGCTGGAACACCAGGGTGGGGAAGAACACCTGTGATGATGAAGCTGGGGTGTTAAGAGAGGGGTGGGGGTCTCTGGGATGACGGTGCTAAGGCCCAATGAAGGGAGGGGGTTCTCTAGGGCCAAGACACAGAGGAGGGGTCTTTCGAGTTGGGATCCCCCGGTTCTCTGGGACTAGGATATCAGAATAGATATCTGACTTGTCTCCTCATACCTGCGAAGTGGCGGTCAGTGGCTCCACGGCCCCCAAAACGGCCAACCAGCTTTCCATTGGGTTGGAAGGTGAAGACACAGCAAGACTTGTTGTCGACCACAATGATATGTCCGTTACGGTCTACAGCCACCCCTTTGGGGCCCATGAGGCGGCCAGCTCCAATCTTGGTCTGGAAGGAGATGAGCATTAGGGTCTTTATCCCGCCTGGTCCAGAGAACACACCCATCCTGGCACCAAAGCAGAATCCTGGGCTGGGGATGGACCAATCCTGGCCCAATCACCAGGGGACACTAGGATAGTCACTTCAGCTGATCACCTGGGGTGCAAAGTGTAGTGATAGTAAGTTTCTTACCTTGAACTTGCCCTCAGGGGAGAAGATGCTGACCCAACGGTTGTCATAGTCTGCAACGATAATGTCTCCATTGGTGTCCACGGCCACACCTGTGGGGCGTTGCAGCTGTCCAGGCGAGCGCCCTCGGACCCCAAAACGGAACTTGAACTGGCCTTCATTGGAGAAAACCTGGAGCACAGGATCAAGGGAGGGAGGGGAAGGAGGGGAGAGACTGTGGGCACAAAGGGAAGGGAGCAGGATCCTGAGGGAGGAGACCCCCATTCATTCAGTCATTCAGCAAGGACTAATGACACCATGTCAGGGCACAGAGAAGAATCAGACATGGCCACAGAGCTAGTGGACATGCAGCAGAGGTGTGAAAGGGACTGTAGGAATATAAAAGGGTTGAAGGGGAGTGATCAGGAAGGGTTGCAGAAGAGGATATCTGAGCTAACAACCAGAATGGATGCTGACAGGTGAACCAAAGTTGGCCAGGAAAGAAGCAGGAGACAAGGCATTTAAGCAGAGCAGACAGTGCATAAGAGGCACAGAGCCCAGCATAGGCCCTGCTCATCGTGTACAACAGAGGTCAAGTGTTACCCTGGATGTAATGGGGATTCACTGAAAATTTGTGGGCAGGGAGTGACACAATGAGATTTGCTTTTGTGGTATAATAAGACATGTATTTGGTCTTTGTCCCCAGTGCCTATCACAGAGCTCCTCAAAGCCTAGGAATTTCCTGATAGGATTGTCTTTTGTCGTTCATAAGGGCAACTGCAGTGACTTAGGTTAGCCTCAGGATGAAGCTGGTCATTAGAAAGACCAAATGATTAAAGGATTGGAATTTACAGCCTATCCAACCTCTGGGAAGAGTTGTGCATGTGTGCGCACACAAATGAAGCTCTATAAAAACTCCTGAACAAGATTTGATGAGCTTATGGGTTGGTGCCGAAAGGATGGAGCACCCCAGTTCCACAGAGAGAGAAATGCCTGCACTAGGGACTCTTCTGGACCTCTTCATCTAGCCACTCATCTGTGTCCTTGATCAGATCCTTTACAGTAAGCTGGTAAAGCCAAGCAAATGTTTCTCTGAGTTCTGTGAGCCTATCTAACTAATCGAACCCAAAGAGGGGGTTGTGGGACCTTCCAATTTATAGCAGGTCGGCCAATGCCCAGGTGACAGCCTGACTTGCAACTGGTGTCTGCGTGGGTGCAGTCTTATGGGACTGAGCCCTTCACCTCTGGGATGTGATACTATCTCCCCGTACACAGTGTCAGAACGGAATTAAATTCATAGAAAACATGGTCAATGTCCACTGGAATTAGAGAACTGTTTGGTAGTGTTTGGGAAAAACACCTGGGAGTTTGTAAGGAAGAGCACTCTGGTTTCAGGGAGGAGTCAAGACTGGATGCTGGCCAAGCATCAGAGGCTGCTGTGGCAGTCCAGGTGTGAAATGATGATGGCTTAGGCCAGGGCACTGCTCGAGGGCACAACAGATGGACTCAAGAGACATATACCGTAGTAGGTAGATTCAACAAACTTGGTAGCAGACAAGGGAAGGAGGGAGGTGAGGGAGATGGACCGGGATTAGCCCTTCCAGGCTATGGGGCTGACCAGGCAACCTACCTGGACAGAGTGAACCTTTCAACCTCTCTCTCTTCTATCTCCTTGACCTCCTTTAATGCTCCTTCCCTCTACAGCTAAGCCTTCCTGTTTCTCCTCCTTTGCAGGCAAGACATTACTCACCGCTCACTGCGTAAGTCCCACACACTGCTTTGTTATAGGCTCTGGGGACATAAGAGGTATCCGAGCCAGGAGCAGCCTTGGCTAACTCAAGTTCTGGGCCTTGGTCTTAGTTTATCCAGACCTGCTCCCTCCTTAGTGGACTGGGCCCCTGTCCTCACCCCATCCCCATCTCTCAGGCCTGCAGGGCCGTTTGAACTGGTCCCTCCAAGAGACATCACTCCCTCCTAATGTAGACCTTCTATCATGCCCTCACTCCTTCTGCTGTAGACCCCTGCAGTGGGACAGCACCTGCTAGCATGAGAATGGAAGGACCACAGACTGGAGAGCTGATGTGAGATAGACTACAAGGTTTTCCCAGACCAGCAGTGAGATTATGCATGTGCCTTCTCCAGTCTGAGAAGCTCAACTTCCAGCTCAAAACTCAGAGGCTTGTGGAGTGTGGGGGACATCTTACTCTTCCTGTCCCATCCTATCCCATCCCTCACACCTGGCCAACTCCTATTCATCTTTCAATTCTCAGAATTTCCAGGTCATTTCTTCAGAGAAGCCTTCAACGACCAACTCCAACCCCTGAATCAATGAATACACCCACAGTTAGGTTTCTGTGATATATGCTTTATAGTTCTCGTCATAACAACCATCACTTCTATAACTAAATATCTTTGTCCCCTTCTAAGAAAGTTCAAAGTGGGGTAGGAGCTGTGTCTGTTCTTTGCTGCTGCATTTATAAGTAAAGCAACTGGCACATAACAGACATTCAACAAATGAATGAGTTCCCCAGCTCAATCTCAGATCGCAGCCAGACACCTCCACTGGAATGACACACAGCAATCTCAGACTCAACACGTGCAAAAGGGAATTCATCAACTTATACCTAGACCAGCTCCTGCATGGCGACACCACGGACTCAATGCACCGAGCCCTGCCGTTCCTGAACCTCCCTCTCCCTTGACGTCTGATAGCTCATCAAAACCTGCCATGTTTGCTTCCTGAACATCTCTGGGATCTGCTGGTGCCCTAGTTTGGTCTTTAACATCTCCCTGCTATATCACAGTAGCACTAAGTAACTTCAGGACCTAAGCCTGAGTAGGGGAAAGAGACTAAGACAAAATTAAACAAGCCGGTGGTTCTGGTAAAGTCTGAAAGTGTTTATAGCAAAAGGTTGAGGAGCTCAGAGGAGAATGTGATTAATATTCTGTCTGAAGGAAATGAGCTGATAACATTCCTGGACTAAGACAGTTACTCAAATTGTCAAACCAAATATGCAAATTGAATTCTTCACTCAGCCTCCACCATACATGGGTCCAAAAGAGGAAAAGTTCACGCGGAGCCCAATTCTCATGAACTGAGGGGTGCAGGTCACAGTCCACCTGGGAGTTCAGCCCATACCAGGCCTGAGGCCCCAGAGTAAGAGAAGCAGAAACTCGGCTTTGGAACCCAAGTCAGGTTCCTAGCAACTGGGAAGCTGGAGTGCAGGTGGGAGTGGGAGCAAGGGAGACTGCTAGAGGACCAGTGTTTGGAAGGGAGGGGCTACGTCAGGCAAAGTGGCACGTGTCACTCTGCATGTGAGCACTCGTGTGCACGCACAGGAGGGAAGGTTTCCCAAATCTCAGCATTTGTGCCAGAAAGCATCCCTGGCAGAAGGAGCAGGGAGAGAGTTGGAGGGTAGAGGAAGTGACTGAGTAGGGCCTCAGCACCACCCCCACGCCCATCTCCTCTTCACTATCCAGGCTGCGTCCAAATACCTCCCTGTGCTGAACGGGGCCTCTCCATTCCTCTGCTCCTAGGAATAGGGCAGGAATAGAGGCTGGCGGGAAATACAGGACTGGGAAAATGGTCACGGAAGAGCTCGTGGCACTTGCAGCCTGGCAGGTGGGATCTGACACTGAAGCGACAGGCCTTTGGCAGAGCTGGACCTGGGATGGGCGCTCCGGCTGGGTCAGGAAGAAGTGTAAGTTTACAGGCATTGCGAAGTAAGGATCTTCAGGGAACAGCTTTGCTCCCTGATAAAGTGTTTCCGCGAACTGAAGCTCAGGATAGTCACAAACAATCCCACACAGCATAAACTCAGTGTGACCTCAGCTTCTTGGCTCCTAAGAGTAATCTACCTCCAGCTCCTTTGGGAATCCTTCCAGCTCCCTGTACAACCCCCTCCAGCACTCCCCACCTCCTGGCTTTTGTTGACAGCCGCCACCTGGACTGGTGATATTTTTAACCAACATGAGAAGGCTCACTAGGTGTCACGCAGAGTACGTTATGCCGTTTAATGCTTCCAGCGACCCTCTGAGGTATTCTTTTCCTAATTTTACACACGAGTTAACTGAAGCTGAGAGAGGTCACATGACTTGCCAGTAAGTGGCAGAGCTAGGATTCAAGCCCAGGTGTCTGGTTTCAGAGCCCGGGCTTTTAACTGCTCCGCTGTGTCTACCACACTGGGCTCTGGGTTTACTACAAGGAATAAAAAGAGAAAACCACATTTTTCTGGCTTTAAAGAGCTTGATGTGCAGCAAAGACCACGTCTTTTTGTGTGGCAGATGCCTTAATCCGGTGAGTGAGGGAAAGGATAGGAGGACCACCTGTGAGCGTGTACTGTAGTCTGGCCACTGAAGACACCCCATTTTCACAAGTTAACCCCATTTGACCGGCTAGTCCACCGGATGTTTGCAGAGACTGGTGCAGACAAGATACATTCTTGAGCCAGGAAGGTATGTTGGGACACAGCAGGGAAGGGCAGAGCCAGCATCCTGACCACGTGGTGGTGAAAAGAGGAGAAAGTCAGCCAGCCAGGTGGAGGCTCATGAGGAGACAGAGGAGAAGGAAGAATGAGCCTGACCTTTAAGGTCCAGGAGCTGGTCTGGGCTGAACCATGGCCTGGGAGGTAGAAAGTGCCAGCACAGTGATCCCTGGTGCCTAACGGTGAGCGTGGTGATCCTTGTGGCTAGCGGGGGTGAGGTTACAAGTGGGTGAATGAAGGGCAGTGCTGTGATTTATTGCTCTTTAAGAAATGGTACTATGTGCAAATCTTTTTTTTTTTTAAGCAAGGCTTCGATTATTGTACATCTTTCAGGAGTAGATCTATATTCTATACACTGTTTTTTGTTTGTTGGTTGGTTGGTTGGTTTGAGGAAGCTGTAGCTCAAGGGCCTGTATTTCGGAGATGTGGGAGCGGGACAGGGGCTCACCTGAATACACTGGTTGTTGCTGTCTGCTACCACTATGCGGCCACTGCTAGCTGCGGACACTCCCTGTAAATTGGTGAATTCGCCTTTCTCCCTTCCACGACTGCCTGCGGAGAGAAGAAGGGAGGGAAAACAAAAGAATTTAATTGGCTTGCAGGTCATTTTGAAACTCCCTGCCCTCTGCGCGCAGCCTCCTGCCTGGCCCCGCCCCGCCTGGCCCCGCCCCGCCCCGCCCCCGGCCGTCAGTACCGACTCGGAACACGAGCTCGTCCTCGATGGGGTTGTCCTTCCGTTTGCCGCTGGTGCTGTACATGGAGCTGGGCCTCCGCACCGCTTTCTGGCGCACGTGGCTGCCGGGGCCACCGGGGGACTTGACGCGGCGCTTGACGTCGTCGGGCGAAGGCGGCAGGTCCCCGGGCCGCAGGGCGCGCACGCGGAAGGGGCTGCCGCGCACCGGCTGGCCGTAGAGCAGCACGGAGAGCAGCAGCTCGCCCTCGGCGCGCGCCGTGTACACCAGCTCGTACGTGCCGTTCTTGTGGTCCACCACGGGCACGGGCAGGCGCGTGCCATCCGGCGCCGTGAGCTCCGCCCGCAGCTCGGCGCTGCCGGTGCGCACCAGCCGCCCGTCCTTGTCTTTGGTCGTGACGGTGAGCGAGGCCGCCTGGCCCACCAGCGCCTGGCGCAGGCCCTCGCCCGTGGCCACCGTCTCGTGCGCTGTGGCGCTCGTGGTGAGCAGCGCGCCCAGGTTGAGCACCGATCGCCGCAGCCCGTCCACCTCCAGGACCAGTTCCAGCTGCGCGTTCTCGTGCGGCCGCTCCGGGAAGGCCTGCGCCGCCAAGGCCGCCAGGCGCTCGCGCATGTGCTTGCGGACCAGCAACACCTCCGGGGCCGAGCCCAGGCGCAGGGCCTGCTCCGCGAAGCTGCAGCTGCTGCCGATGTGTTCCTGGCCCTGGCGCAGTGTGTCCAGCTGGGTCTGCAGCACCTGAGGGATCAGGGGTGGGGTGGGTGAGAACAGGGGCGCAGAGGCGGGTCTCTGTGATTTCTGGTGAACGGGCAGCACGATGGCATGAAAGGAAGACAAGCGAGGGAGGGTGGACAAGGGTCACAGACGCCCACAGCACCTGCGGGGCCATGCCAGGAGGCAGGAACTGTTGACTAGGGAAAGGGGGTGTGCAAGTGTGGGAAGCAGAGAATCATGGGGAGCAATAAGGCAGGGAAGGGTGCACAAATGCACCTTCTGCTTCGCCCCACAGATGGCCTCCAGGTCATTGACCAGCGCCTGCTTGCGCTGCTGCAGCGCTTGCTCCAAGTCCTCGAAGGCAGCGCTGATCTGCGCCAGGGCCTCTGCCTTGCGTTCCTGCAGCTGCTGGCTGATGCCCCCCACCAAGGCGATCGCCGCGGACAGCTGTGGCAGCCTGGGGAGGGAAACAATTCATACTGCGGTGGCTTGAGGCGTCCTTACCAGACCATCCCTTCTCCCTACTGCTAGGAGATCCCCTACCGTCCAGGAGATCCCCTGCTTTCTCACAGTTTGATCTGCACCCTGCCCTGGGTCCCTCCTCTGCCCCCCCGCCGAAACACCATCTCTGACGGCCCCACCAGCCCAGGTCCCCACCAGCGCCTACCGGCCGCGCACCGCCTCCAGCTGGCGCTGCAGGGCAGCCTTGTGCTGCTCCACCACGTCCCGCAGCAGCACCGTGCCGTGCTCCCGGTGCTCCCCTGCGCGGCACTCGCCGCACATGGCCGTCTCACAGGCCTCACAGTAAAACTCCATCGTCTGGCAGCACAAAGACTCCAGTTAGGCAACGGCTAGGAGCCGGACTTCTCTGCCCCGCCCCTCCCCCACCGCCCTCCTGGCCCCTCCCCTTCCAGGTGTGCCCCCTACACCTGGACCACTTATTCCGAGAAACACCTCTCACCCACAGCCACTCGGCCCCCTCCCCCCAGCCTCTTCCCCTCCCCTCCACCCCAAGTCCTGGCCTCACTGGGCCTGCTTGGGCCCACCTTGCCTTCATGGTTGGGGCAGGAGAGGGGGCGGCCAGCCACTGCACTGAGGGGGTGGGGGTCCTCCGGATCGTGGGCCCCGTCGGGTGCCTGCTGCATGGCCTCCATGAGGCTGCTGATGAAGAAGTTGTTCTGCAGCGCGGAGACGCCCTGCTCAGGGAGGATGGACGTCTGCCGGCACACTGGACAGGACAGCGTCAGGCTCTGGGCAGGGATATAGTTCTGGAGGCATCTGGCCAGAGAGGGAAAGAGGGGGAGGGGCAGCATCAGCACACTCCTCCTCACACTTTCCCTGGGTGCCAATGCCTCTCCTCACAGGGGTGCCACCGCACTTCATTGGGAAACCTCTCTGGTTGGCACACACATCTTATCCTGCCAGCAGGTATAAAAGGCCCCATCTCATCTCTCACGACTGCGTAGAAACACATCCCTGACCTCTCAGAAGAGCTGACATATCCGCATTCCTCACCGTGTGCACACACACAGGTTCACCTTTCACAGGTGTTTACAAACCCTTGGCATAGAAAAATGTGCAACTAGCCCTTACTTTAATTAAACATTTACGGACTGCCTACTCTTGTCGAATTTGTGCCAAGCTCTGGGGATATAAAGATAAAGCACAGTGCATACCTCTAAAATACTTGGAGTCTACCGAGGAGTGTTTACAGAAGTTCTGAAATAGAGAGTCTACAGAAGTAAGCAGTGTAATGATTAAGGGTGTGGACCCTGGAGCTAGGCTGCCCGGGGTTCAATCCCAGGTCAATCATCTATTAAACTGTGACCCCTGACAAGTTACTTAACGTGGATGAGCCAGGGATTCTTCCTTTGTAAGATGGAGACAGTACAGACTTCACAAGGTGGGGAGGATTAAATGTAAAGGGCTTCTATGCCTCACTCACAGAAAGCACTACATCTTATAGGCTCTGAGTATTTGCCTAACTCACAGAGAGTGCTATACATTGTAGGTTACTATTTATCATTAATAAAAGGAATACCGTATACGCACTGATAAGGAAATGCACTGAGGGGCACCTGGCCCGGGGTGGGTGGAGAGGGGAGCCAGGAAAGGCTTCTGAAGAGGTGACGTAAGCTCCATCTTCATGCTTAAATAATGTTAGCCTGACCAAAGGAAGGTGCAGGGGGAGGAGGGAGGGTGTTCCAGACACAGAAGGCATCCAGAAACAGCATAGTGTGGGTAGGGAATTATAAACAGCTTGATGTGGCTGGAGGCCAAATCCAAGACAAGGAATGGTAATGGGAGTCTGGAGAGAGACAGGGGCCAGTTTATGGAGGGCCTTATGGGCCACATACCAAGGAGCTAAGAAGTCATTGCAACAGCCAAAGGGAGCCCCCGGAGCATGGGACAGCCAGGTCTCCATTGTATCAAGCTCCTCTTCACTGCCTCTTGGTGGAGGTAGAAAGAGAATGTGAAGAGACAGCAGACAAGGGGTTTTAACATCATCATCACCCAATTGCCATTTATTAAGCACCATGTGCCAGGCGCTGTGCTTTCCATTTTGTTTATGTATATAGACTCTGAAAGGGTGAGCAGTCCAAGGAAACAAAGCTAGTGAACACTGGAGCCTGGATCCAAAAACAAGGCAAACATTCTCTTGCAATCCTTTAGGCAAGAGATGAGAAGACCTGGATTTAGGCAGAAGCAATGTAGACTAAGGTGGAATAAATTCGAGAAGCATTTAAGAAATGTAGCTAATAGGGGGCACTGTCTGATTAGAAAGAGGGGGGTGAGAGATGAGTGTGGGTTGACTCCCAGGTTCCTAGCCTAGAGCACCGAGTGGACAGTGGCGGCATTCACAGGAAGAGGAGTGGTTTCTAAGGAAGTTCAGCTTGACCTGGCAGAGCTCACCGTAACAGGGGACATCCAAGTAGAGGGGACCCGCAGAGAGCTGGGGAGAAGACAGGTTAGAGATATAGAGGAGGATGCCGTCAACATGTACATGGCCTCTGTCGCCCTGGGAGAGGATACAATCAGCCAAGAAGGGGTTGGCAGGGGTAACAGGAGGGCAGAGCACCCATGAGGGGGACAAAGAGCCATGGGCAGAGCCAGGGACAGAGCAGCAAAGTACTCAGCGCAGTTCCAGGAGGGGAGGAGTAGTCATCAGTGTCCAAAGCAGCTGAGGACTCAGGGAACATTAAGGACCAAGAAATGGCCATCAAGTTTGGCAAATGTGAGAGTACTTTTGTCTGTAAGTAAAACAGAGACATCAGAGTGGTAGGGGAAGCAAAAACTTGACTGTTGCCAGTTGTAGAGTGAACAGGGGGAGGTCTGAGGAAGAAGGGGGTTGAGGGACTGAATGACAGCTATGGGGACAGAGGCACTAACAGTTCTTATCTGTTTGTGATGGGAGCCTTGAGCATGTTTATAAATGGAGGAGCCAGGAGAGAAGGAGAGACGGAAGAGGCTAGAAGACTCGGGACAAAGTCTAGGGATGCGGAAATGGCTCAGATTGGTCTGAAGAGGAATGAACCATCTCCTCTGACTGGAGGAGGGAAGAGAGGTAGATGTATTTGAGCACAGGAGCAAAGTTAAGGAGCTGGTGCCTAACTTGCCTCAGGCAAGATCAGCTGCTGCGTGAGAAGGAGAGAGGATTCAGGAGAACGGGAGCTGGGATTAGTCACTGAAGGGTGGAGGAGAGGACGCTTACAGACTGACCAGACCACGAGTCTGTGGAGGGAATATCTGCATGCTGCAAACTTTCCTATATCTTCGGTCTCTTCTGTTGTTCTCTACACCTCTACATCTGAACTAATTAATTTATTTACTTAACAAACAGTACGCGCCAGGCACGGTTCTAAGTGCTTCACAAAAATTAACTTATTTGTGACCTCGTTTCCCCTGCAGTCCTCTCAAGCAGAGAGTTGTTGTTTTTTGTCTCATACTCCACATTCCTTAGGGCCGGAAGGTGGGGCTGAGTCCTCCCCACCCCCAGATGAAACATTTCTAAACTATTCTTTAGCTCCTTGAAAGCTCAAGCCTTCTATCTACACCACCCCTCCTTTTATTGTCTCTGCTAACTTAATGGTTGCTTCCCTGGTCACTACATTCTTTGGTCTGGCTTACTCTCTTCCTCTGTTAACTCCTGACCCATACCCCATACCACACCCCCCCCACACCCCCCCCCCTCTCTCTCTCTCACACACACACACACACACACATATACACACACACACACACTCTCCTCCCATCAGTTCCAGTGGCTCTGACATCCACCAAGTGACTCATCCACTATCAAGATTTCTTAGTTCCTTGATCTCCTCACCCCAGTGATCTTTCCTTCCACTGCACCTCAGAGGTCCACTCCCCTGCTCCCACCACCACCCTTATCCCATCACTCATCACTGCATCAACTCTACAATCTGCATTTCTACTATTTTACTCTGTTCCCCTGTAGTTCCCCTCCCAGCTCATGGACTCCGGTGTCTCTCCTGCAAAATACCTTCGAACTCATCACAGCCTCCTTCCTTTTGCTGAGCATACCTGACTTATAACAGCTTCCTAACTGGATTCTTGTTTTCACTGTTACTTCTCTGTAATCTATTCTCAGCATAGCAGCCAGAGTGAGCTTTTAAAAATCTAGTTTACTTCACATTATTTCCCTGCTAAAATAAATCCCCCAAGGGTATTCCACTGCATTTATAATAAAGTCCAAACATTTTCCTACAACTGCCAAGCTACCCCATAACTGTCCTCTTTTGTGCCTCATTTCATCTCACTTTCCTCCTCACTCAGCTCCCCTGGCTTCTTTTCTGGTCTCTGAACATGCCCGTTTACTCCTTCCTTAAGGCCCTGCATGGCACAATTAAGAGATTTTCCCATTGCTTGGAACTCATCCTCAGGTGTTAGGTCAAATATCACCTTCTCAACTAAGCCTTTCCTGAAGACTCTGTAGAATAGCCACTGGCCCACCCACCCCATTTACTCCCTGCTTATTTCCTGCAAAATACTCAGCACAAGCTGTGACCCACCTGTTTGATTATTTGCTCGCTTACCGTCTTTCATTTTCCACTAGAACATAAGAGTGAAGACTCTACAGAATACTATAAATAATTATACTCCAACAAATTGGAAAAACCTAGAAAAAAATGCATAAATTCCTAAATACACACAGCCTTCAAAGGCAAATCATGAAGAAATATAAAATCTGAATAGACTGATTACAAGTAATAATTTGAGTTAGCAATTTACATCCCCCGCCCCCCCCCAAAAAAAAGCCCAAAACCAGATGGCTTCACATGTGCGTTCTACCAAAGATTTAAAGAAGAGTTAACATCCATCTTTCTCAAATTATTCCAAAAATAATGAAAGAAGAAGAAAAGCTTCCAAACTCATTTTATGAGCCAGCTATACACTGATACTAAAACCAGACAGAAGCCACACACACAAAAAAAATTACAGGCCAATATCCCTGATGAATATACTAGTAGATGCAAAATTCTCAACAAAATATTAGCAAACCAAATTCAAAAATACATTAAAAGATCATACATCGTGATCGAGTAAATTTATTCTAGGGATGCAAGGATGGCTCAACATCAGCAAATCGATCAATGTGATACATCACATTAACAAAACAATAAAAATCATATGTCAATTATATGCCAATATAATGAAGCAAAAGCATCTGACAAAATTCAACATTTATTTATTTTTTAAAAAAACTCTCTGCTGAAGCTGGTTTGGCTTAGTGGTAGAGCGTCCGTCTGCGGACTGAAAGGTCCCAGGTTCAATTCCAGTCAAGGGCATGTACATTGGTTGCGGGCACATCCCCGGTAGGGGGTGTGCAAGAGGCAGCTGGTTGATGTTTCTCTCTCATCGACGTTTCTAGCTCTCTCTCTCTCCCTTCCTCTCTGTAAAAAAATCAATAAAATATATATTTTTTTAAAAAGTCTCAAAACTCACTATAGACTGATTCATTTGCCTCTCAGCATAACCATTATTGCTTGTCTCATTTTCAGTTCTTACAAGTGTATTTCTAGTATCACATGAGCTCACTCATCTAGGGGAAATGATGAACAACATAGACTGATGAACAAGAATTGCATCGATCAGACTGTCGGGCCTCAGAAGGAAGGTAAGGGAGGGTGGGGATAAGGGAGAGAGATCAACCAAAGGACTTGTTGCATGCATATGTCTAACCAGTGGACATGGACAATAGGGGGGTGGGAGCATGCGTGGGGAGGGGTTTGGAATGGAAATGGGGGGGATGAGAACAAATATGTGATACCTTAATCAATAAAGTAATTTAAAAAATAAATAAGTGTGGCTCAATGGTTGATCATCAACCTCTGAACCAGGAGGTCACGGTTGATTCCTGGTCAGGGCACATGCCTAGGTTGCAGGTTTGATTCCCAGTAGGGGATGTGAAGGAGGTAGCCAATTGATGATTCTCTCTCATCATTTATGTTTCTATCTCTCTCTCCCTCCCCCTTCTTCTCTCTGAAATAAAAACATATATTTTTAAAAAGAATTAAATCTTGACATTTGCAAAAGCATGGATGGACTGTGAGGGTATTATGCTATGTGAAATAAGGCAGAGAAAGACAAATACCAGATAATTCACTTACATGTGGAATCTAAAACATCTGAACAAAACAGAAATACACTCACAGACGCAGAAAATAAACTGGTAGTTACTAGAGCGTAAAGGGGTTAAAGGAGGAATGAAATAGGTGAAGGACATTAAAAGGTACAAACTTCCAGTTGTAAAATAAGTCATGGGGATGTAAAGTATAGGGAATACAGTCAATAATATTGTAATAACTTTGTATGGTGACAGATAGTAACAAGATTTATTATACAGATCATTTTGTAAGGTATATAAATATTGAACCACTATGATATATACCTGAAACTACAGGATATTGTATGTCAAGTTTACATCAATCAAAACAAAAAGACTGAAGGGCCTGCAGTCAAACCTGAATTCAGACCTTGACTGCTAACTGTGGAAACATTTCTTAATTACGTAATGACTCTAAACCCTAGTTTCTCCAAAATGGGGATAATAAAGTATGTATTGTAAAGATTAAATAAATCAATACATGCCAGTCCCTTGCAAATAGTAAAGATACAGAGACATCTTACTGACCCAGCAATGAGCTTCTGCCACGTGGGTTTAGAAAGGAACAAAGATGTGAGTGGACGGTGGCAGCCAGTCAGATGGGCAGCCATGGGATCCAGGATGGGTGGAAAGAAAGGCAGGCCAGGAGGGATCTGGTGGCTGGGAAAAGAGGGAGCTGACGAAGGAGCTGGATGTCTATAACCAGTTAAAGCTGACGTAGTGGGAGGAGGGCAATGGGAGCAGGAGTGGGAGAGTGGAGTGTATGACCACAGAAGAAGTGGTATTATTCTGGGGGATGGCAATGTGCAGCATGTTGTTGGGAAAGAGTATGACCGAGGTGGTATGGAGGACATCCCAGAGAAACAGACAAGAACCAAGAGGCATAACTGGGTCATAAAGTCATTCAAACTGATGGGAGAACTCGGAAAGGGCAGGAGGGCAGAGTCTGTGTCCAGCTGCTAAAGGGGAGGGTGCAGTAGAGAAATCTGAAAGAGCAGGGCTGGAAGGGACGCAGAGTCCCTGGGGCTGAGCCAGGTTTCAGTGAAGGCAGGAGGCAGAGGGAAGGCATGGGTGGACACAATGGTGAGAAGACCCAGAGACCAGGCCACTCAAGACAGAGCGATGAGGGAGGAGGGCGGGAGAGAGATCATTGTCCAAATACAGATGTGATCGTGTTTAAAACCCTGCAAAGGCTTCATGGGCAACATTCCCTAACAGGTCCACAAAGTTCCACGTGGTGTGGCCTCAACCTTCCTCTCTAGCTGCATCCCATGCCACTCTCAATCCTGCCTGCCGAGGCCTCCTCTAGGCCCACTGACCTGACACAGTCCCTCATTCCCATGTTCTTCCTTCTGCCTGCAATGCTCTTACCACTCCTTTCATTAGTTAACTCCTGCTCAGCCTCCAGACTGCACCTCAAGGATGCCTTCTCTGATTTTCCAAACTATAAAATCCCATATGCTCAGCTCTCATAGTTTACACTTTATTTGCAGCTCTGATTAAGGGTGAAATATTACATTTACCTGTTGCCTGGCTATATGATTATTTGATTATTTTCTCCGTCACTATATTATGAGTTCTTTAAAAAAATTGTTTTTAATTTTATTTATTTTAGAGAGAAAGGATGGGAGAGAGAGAAAAACATCGATTTATTGTTTCATTTATGTATGCATTCCTTGGTTGATTCTCCCCCCCCCCCCCAATTTTGAAGAACTCAGTTTATTAACTGACCAGATTACAAAAATAACCATGGTAGATACCTTAGTTCATCCTTCTAATAAGCCTGTTGATCTCCGTTGGTTGATTCTTATATGTGCCCTGACCTGGGATCAAACCCACAACCTTAGCATATTGGGTCGATGCTCTAACCAACTGAGCTACCTGGCCAGGGCTATCCTGTAAGCTCTTTAAGAACAGAGAGATATCTGCCTTCGTTTGTCACTACATACAAGTGCAGCTGCTTGTTACATGCTAGTGAATGTTTGTTGAATGAATGACTGATGGATAGAAGCCTAGAGGCTGGAAGGGGTTGCCTTTCCCTCGGTGCTCCAGGACAACAGGGACAGGCCTAGCTTCAAATATCTGCCCACTGGTCATAAAGTCCTCTGGTGCCAGAGCTGGTTGAGAGTCTCAGCTCTATCTGATTTCTCTGATGCTGTGGAAGGCTGCCTTGGGGCTTGGGAGCAGAAAAGCCCTATTCTGGGCAGGAACGATGGCCCAGTGTTAGGAGCTCCTGGTCCTCCCATGGGTGCTTGCATCTCCTGCAGGGTGGGGTTCACCTGCTTCCCTGCATGGGCACACAAATCTCCCTCACATCTTACAGGTTTACACATGTCCCTCCCCTCTCAGGGAGCCTGGCAAGGCCTTCCTCCCTCCCAGGACACACCCCTCCTCACCTCTCACAGAAGGTATGCAGGCAAGGCAGGACCTTGGGGCACCGGTACCGATCCAGGCAGATGCTGCACACCAGGAACTGCTTGTCCATGGGCTGGACCTCCGGACCAGGGCTGTCCTGCCTCTTCGCCATGGTGCCCACAGATGGCTCCCGCCACTCACACCAGCCTGTGTATGGAGAAATGGTCAGCACCGGGGAAGTCAGCACTCCCTCCCCCACCTGATCCTCACCACTCCAATGCCCTGCAGAGAACTAGGCCCATTTCTTCCCTGCCAGGGGCAACACAGGCAGATCTGAGGGAGCAAGGTGAAAGAGGTGGGCTGAGTAACCCACGGTTAAGAGCACAGACTTAGGGTTAAGTTGGGGTCAAACCCAGCTCAGACTCTTACCAGCTATGTGCCCTTGCATAATTCATAAAACGTCTCTGAGCCTCCGTTTCCTAATTTGCAATTATGGAAATAACAATCCCTACTTCAAATAGTTATTCCGAGACTTGCAATAGTGCTCATCATGTGCATGGTACACGGATGCCCACTCTCACCGAGACGCTCATCCTTTATCTCCTCTGTCTCCCTCAAATCCTCCTCCAGGAGACCTTCCTGATGGAGTGTCTCTCCTCTGACTACCTACAGCCCCTCCTACCTCTGACCCTCCTCTCAGCACAACTGCCCAGGTGCATTCTTTCCCACATCCAATCAGAAGGTAGGTCTGTGGATTCTGCCTCCTAAATACCTTCTCCCCTTTTCTTCAACTACACAGCTACTGCCCCCATCAGATCTCCACCAATTCTCTCCTGAGATGCAGCACAGCCTTCTAACTGGTAGCCTTGTCTCTTCACTTATGCCTCTCACCCATCCTCCTCACAGTTAGAATGAGGCTTCTACAACAGATTCCATCTTGTCATTAATCTCCTATTTCACTTCCTTCAACTGTTATCCATTGTCCAGAGGACAAAGTCCAAACTTTTAAATTTGCCAACAATGGCTTAGCTTTGCCCACACCTCATTCCACAATTAGTAACACTGTCCTTTCTGTTCCTGGAAAATCCCTTCTTCTCTTTTACTACCGGGCAGTCACACATTCTATTCCTTCTGCCTAAGATCCTCTTCCAAGCTCCCCTTTGCCTGACTGACTCCCAATTGTCTTTCCAGTCACTATGTAAATGTCACTTCCTCCAGAAGGCCTTCCCCGATTTCCTGAAGTCTGGGTAAGGTGCTTCCATCTTTGTGTCCCACTGCACGCTCTATTTCCTCCATCTTAGCCCTTGTGCCATACTATAATGTTATTATATAATAGCACAGAGCCTAACATAGGATCAATCTATATTTATTGAATTAATTCAATAATTCAACAAATATTTATTAAGTGCCTACTTTGTACAGATAAACAAACCAGACTGATAAAAATAAATCAGATATAGTCACTATAGTCACTATCCTTGTGATAGAGAGGTGGTGACATGTATTTTTAAAGTAAATAAACAAATAATTACAAATTGGGAGAGGGGCATGCTAAAAAGAAAAAGATGCTATGGAGAACACTTTTCTTATTGGTGATCAGGGAAGGCCTCTCAGGTAACTTTTAAGCAGATCTCTGAAAGATGGGAGGAAAATGGTAGGGATGAAGGTGGGAGCATGAGAGAGTGAGAGAGGGAAGTCATTCTGGGCTAAATGAATGAAAGTTCTTAGACAGAGGGCTCACTGAGAAATGGAAAGGACCATGTGGTTAGAACAAAGTGAATAAAAGGCAAGCGGTGAGCTTGGGAAGGTGAGCTTGGGAATGGTATCAGGAAGGTCCTTGATGTTAAGAATCTAGATTTTCTCCTAATTTGGGTGAGAAATGATACAATTTAGAAAAAAAAAAACAGAAATAAATTAAAAAGCTACTTTGGCAGCTATGAGGATTGAAGAGAAGTAGGAGAAGGGAGACCAGTTAGGAGGCTACCACAGTTCTTGTAAGATGTTGGTTATTAGCAGAGCTATAGGTAAGAAGGTGGACTGATTTGGTAAATACTCTTGAGGTTGAATCAAAGAAACATCATTATGGATTTGATGTGAGAGGGGAAAGGAATGCCAATAATAACACCCACCTCCCCCACACCACCCCCGTTTTCTCCCTTGAGCAAGTGGTGGGCCGTGTACAGAGACAGAGGGAGCTGAGGAGGTGATTTTGAACATTCTGTTTTACTTATTTATTTGAAATATATTTTTATTGATTTTAGAGAGGAAGGGAGAGAGATAGAAACATCAATGATGAGAGAATCATTGATCGGCTGTCTCCTGCATGTTCCCTATTGGGGATCGAGCCTGCAACCCAGACATGTGCCCTTGGCTAGAATCGAACTTGGGACCCTTCAGTCCACAGGCCGACGCTCTATCCACTGAGCCAAACCTGCTAGGGCTGGACATTCTGTTTTAGATACGTTAAGTAATATTCAGGTAGAGATGTCAAGTAAGGAATAGAATACAGGTGCTCAAGTGAGAAGTCTGTGCTGGTTATTAATTTGACTTAAAGCAACAAGCAATGAAAATGGATGAGACCACCTAGGTCAGTGGTCGGCAAACTGCTGCTCGCGAGCCACATGTGGCTCTTTGGCCCCTTGAGTATGGCTCTTCCACAAAATACCACGTGCAGGCGTGCACATACAATGCGACTGAAACTTCGTGGCCCATGCGCAGAAGTCGGTTTTTGGCTCTCAAAAGAAATTTCAATCGTTGTACTGTTGATATTTGGCTGTTGACTAATGAGTTTGCCGACCACTGAGTCCTAGAGAGAGAGTGGTGAGGGAGAAACCAGAGCAAAGGGGAGAAAACCAGGGAGTGTGTGACCAAGGGAATCAAGAGAAGAGAGATATTGGGAAAGGAGTGGTGAGATAAGATGAAGACTGAAGAGTGTCCACCAGATTTGATTGTGGTCAGAGGCAGAAGCCATGTTAGCTGACTAAAGAACGAGTGGAGATGGCGAAACTGACTAAAGAACGAGTGGAGATGGCGAAATTAACACCGCTGATGTAGACAGTTAATGAGAGAAATCTTGCCATGAAGAGAAGCAAAAGATAGCTGGAGTCCTTCAAAACAGGCAGTGGCTAGGAGCCAGTCAACACTCTGCGCCTGCATCCTGGGTCTCTCTACAGATAGCGTATGAATGAATGTTTACATGCATGCAGTGTGGCCAGTCCAGAGGCTTCTCTGGGCTTGAGGAGGGACCAGAGAGAGGTTAGGCTGTATGTGCCTTCTGTTTGAGGGGGGGTAGGCGTGGGAAGGCTCGGAAGGGCATGGCTGAGGGCACTCTCTCCTGGTGTGAACTCTGGGATTCTGAGGTTCTCTCTAGAAGTGATGGGTTCTGAATCTAGAAACTTAATACAAGGACAACACAGCAGGAGGGAGGACAGATTGAGGGTTGGTGTAAGAAACTGGAGGCCAGAGCCAAGCTGAAGCTTCAGTCTGGTAAAGGGGAGGGCGGGAGGGAGAGTGGGCGTGGCCTACTGGGCAGCTGATGTCAGGCTCCGCCTCTCTCCCGGCCCCAGAGTCTCTCCCAGCCTGTTAGAAAGGGGCGGGGACTGGGCTACATCCCAGGTCTCACAGCTCCTCCCTCCCTTCCCCTTCCTGCTTCAGTTCCCCACCCAGGCTTGCCTGACAGGCACTGCCTCTGAGGCCACAACTTTGCCTGGATCACTGGATGTCCTTCTCCCAGATTTCTCCTTCCACCCTCCCATCCCACTGCGCCCTGCAGATCTGCCCCCAAGGCCCTACAGTCAATGGTTTAAGTGGACTGTTTATCACAGCAGACACTGGAGGACCTTGAACGCAGAGCTGAGATTTCAGCCTCTTTCCTATTGTCATCCTGCATGCTTATGCCCCCCTCTGTTGTATGGCTCAGTTCGAAAGGCATCTCATTTCCTATTCAGCATTCATTCAACAACTCTGCTAGGCCTGGGAATACAAAGATAAATAGTCGCAGCTCAGCCTTCCTGGATTTCACAATCTAATAAATAGATCACTGCAGTGCAATGTGGTGAGGGCTCCGATGGGGAAGCAACAGACTGCTCCAGGCGCATAGAGGTCACTAACCTAGACTTGGGGTCAGGGATACTGGAAGCTGGAGGACAAGGAAATTCTCCTGAAGCAAGGGTCGCTCAAGCTGAGATCTCCAGGATGAATGAGAGTTACAGAGATCATGGCGCCTCTGTCTCAGGAAACTGAATCATACACTGGGACAGGGGAGGACAGTTAAGAAACAAGACGGGTTGGTAGGCAGGAACTAGATCACACAATGCACTGCCCGCCTAATGAAGGAGTATAGACTTTACTCTTCCCTTCTAGGGGATTAAGACTTTATCTAAAGAGCAAAGGAAACATTTCTTGGGGAATTGGGAGATTCGAGTATAGAGTGATAGAGCCACAATAGTAAAATTTTGACTGCTGCATGGAAAATAGTTTAGAAGGGAAAACAAGTGGGAAGTTAAGAGACTTCCAGAGGAGAGATGATAGTGGGATTGACTAGCAGAGTAGCAAAGAGAAGGTTGAGAGAAGGGGTTTTCATAGGGAGGAATCAATAGAACTTGATTGCTAGGTGATCTGATGTGAAGAGTAGAGGGAGAAGAATGAGAGATGATACCTAGTTTTCTTGCTTGAAAACTCTGGAAGAAGAGCAGTTTGGATGAGAGGGTGGGAAGTTCCGTGTTTAACAAGATGACTCGGAGGTGCCTATGGGGAGAGGCCCAGCTGGCAGTTGGAGATAGGCTGGCGCGTAGGAAAGGCGTCTGGCCTGGAGAGAAAGATTTGGGATGGTGCCTGAAGCCATGGAAGTGGATGACATCACTCAGAGACGAGAAAGGAGAGCCTGTGACTGTATCCCGAGGAACCTTAACATTGAAGGGATAGGCCCAGAAAGCAAAGCCTGCAAGAAATGGAAAAGGTGTGGCCAGAGAGGCAGGAGAAGCAAAAAAAGAGGGAGACTGCGAAGGCCAGGGGAGAATCAAGCTTCATGGACAAGAAAAACGGTCTCGTTGTGAAATGCTGGAGAAAGGTCCCATGATTTAAGCCCAGGAGAAGCCGTGATTAACTTCAGAGCGTGCGGTTTCCAAGGGCCGGAGGAGAGGAAGCCAGATCCGAGGGGCCGAGGAGGAAGTT